CTTTTCTTTTATTATTATTATATTTTATTTATTATTTTTTTTTTATTTTTTTATTTTTTTTTTTATTTTACGGTTATTTTAGCACTTTAATTTTCTCTTGCATTTTATGCGAAATTCGAGGGACGGTGAACTAATACCAACTGATCCAGAAATCGAACATACTTTTCACCGTAGGCAAAGAGAAGCAAGAGAAATAAAACAACGAGAGATGGCCAACGGACAGAATAATCCAATTATTCAAGTGAACAAAGAAGCAGTGGTTAATGAAGGAAACATGCTAGTTGGGGACTTTATGACTCCACAAATTATTCAAAGTCAATCTAGCATCGTTTATCCTCCGTTTGGACAACCAAACTTTCAGCTGAAGACCAATGTCATTCATTTATTCCAAAATGGACATCAATTTTATGGCAGGGCTGATGAAAATCCACATACACATGTCTCTCGATTTTTGGAGATGTGTCAACACTTTAAATATCAAGGGATTTCAGATGATGCAATCAATTGGGATTATTTCCACATACTCTACGGGATAGAGCACTTGAATGGTTAGATTCACAGCCTATTGCTAGTATTATCACTTGGAATGACTTGGCTCAAAAATTTTGCACCAAATTCTTCTCACCAGCTAAGATTGCGAAGTTGAAGCATGACATATCCATATTTCGGTAGGGAGAAACCGAATCCTTTGATGAAACTTGGAATAGATTCAAGAACATGCTTCGGAAGTGCCCTCATCATAGCATCAGCAAGGGGCTTCAGGTCCAATATTTTTATGCAGGTCTACTTCCATCTTATAAAAGCATGGTGGACTCATCATCCAATGACTCCTTATCCACAAAGATAATTGATGAAGCTTTGGAATTGTTTGAGAGAGTGGCTATTACCATAGCCATGTGGGCCTCTGGGCGTGTTGTTCACAAGAAAGTACCGGGAGTTTATGAGGTGGATACGTATACAGCGTTGTCTGCAAAAAATGACTCTTTGGTTTATAAGGTAGAGAGCATGTCACAGTCAGCTAATGTAGTACAGGCTAAAAGAGCAAGTTGTGAAGAATGTGGGGCAGATCACAGTATAGTAAATTGTCCAATTCGTATACAAGGTACGGAACACGTGAATTTCATACAAGGGGGTCAACGCCAACAAAATAATCCATATTCTGACACCTACAACCCTAGTTGGAGAAAGCACCCGAATTTTTCCTGGAGCAATCAGAATCTCACTGCACCACATGGTTCTCAGTTTCAGCAAGCAGAGAAGAGAACTCCCTTGGAAAAGATGTTTGGTAAATTCATGGAAAAGACAGATCAGTACATGGATGCGAATAATCAATTTATGAGGAAGACTGAGACAACTATCCAGAATCAAAGTGCTGCAATTAAAAACTTGGAGACTCAGATGGGACAGATGGCACAAGCTATATCGGGCAGAGCACCAGGTACATTGCCAAGCAATACAGAGGTTAATCCCAAAGAACACGTCAAAGTAATTACTACTAGAAGTGGGGTCCAATTACCTGAGTTCCATGTTAAGAGGCCAACTGCAAATAAGGAAAAAATACCCTCTACTGATGAAGAGCATGCAGAACAGACTGAACAAACAACAGATACATCTATCAAAGAGAGTTCAAATACACCGCAAATTAAGGAAACTGCTCCTATTAAACCATACGAGCCGCCAATTCCATTTCCTCAGAGGTTGCAAAAACACAAGTTAGACAGGCAGTATACAAAATTCCTTGAGGTCTTCAAAAAGCTTCACATCAACATCCCTTTCGCGGATGCTCTAGTTCAGATGCCTAGTTACGCCAAATTCTTGAAAGATATTTTATCTAACAAACGCAAGCTAGACGAACATGAGACTGTAATGTTGACAAAGGAATGTAGCGCCAGAATACAAAAGAAGCTACCTCCCAAATTAAAAGATCCAGGGAGTTTTACTCTACCTTGCACTATAGGTGATTATTATTTTGATAAAGCTTTATGTGATCTAGGTCCAAGTATTAATTTGATACCATTATCTATTTTTAGAAAACTGGGTTTAGGGGAGGCTAAAGCAACTACATTGACTTTACAACTAGCAGATCGGTCTATCACGCACCCAAGAGGAATTATTGAGGATATCTTGGTAAAAGTGGACAAATTCATCTTCCCAGCTGATTTTCTCATTCTTGACATGGAGGAGGATAGGGATATTCCACTTATTTTCGGTCGACCCTTTTTAGCTACCGGTAGAGCCCTTATTGATGTGCAAAAAGGTCAACTGATTTTGAGACTTGGTAAAGAACATGTCACATTTAATGTGTTCAAGGCCATAGATATCCAGCAGAGTCAGACAGTTGCTTTCAGATCGATGTGATTGATAATACAGTAAATGATACGTTCCCGTTGCATAATCCACCAGATCCATATGAGGCATGCATTGTACACTCTCAATCTACTCAATCTGATTCTAATGAGATTGAAACATGTGCAAGAAATCTTGAAGCTAATCCTCCATATAGGCGCAGACCACACTTTGAGGAATTAGGCACTGGTCCTACAAAGCCTTTGCCATCAATTCAAATGCCCCCTGAGTTAGAGCTCAAGCAGTTGCTATCTCACCTTCGTTATGACTACCTGGGAAAATCTTCCACATTGCCTGTTATTATTTCAAACTCCATTAGTAAGCTTGAAGAAGAGAGATTGCTAAGAGTACTCAGAGAAAATAAAACAGCTATTGGATGGTCTATTGCCGACATCAGAGAGATCAGCCCTACAATCTACATGCATAAAATTCTCATGGAGGATAATTTTAGACCAAGTATAGACAGCCAGAGGAGACTCAATCCAAATATGAAAGAGGTAGTCAGAGTAGAAGTTTTGAAGTTTTTGGATGCAGGGATAATCTATCCTTTTTCAGACAGTGCATGGATTAGTCCTGTTCAGGTTGTGCCAAAAAAGGGAGGTATTACAGTAGTGCAAAATGAGAAGAATGAATTGATTCCCACCAGAACTGTTACGGGATGGAGGGTATGCATTGATTATTGCAAACTCAACACTGCTACTCGAAAGGACCACTTTTCCCTCCCATTTATTGATCAGATGTTGGAAAGGTTAGCAGGTCACTCCCATTATTGTTTTCTTGATGGATACTCCGGTTATAATCAGATTTCGATAGCGCCCAAGGATCAAGAGAAGACTACGTTTACTTGTCCCTAAGGCACCTTTGCGTATCGTAGGATGCCATTTGGTCTATGTAATGCTCCCGCCACATTTCAGCGTTGCATGATGGCCATCTTCTCTGATATGGTGGAAAAATTCATAGAGGTCTTTATGGATGATTTCTCAGTTTTTGGTTCTTCGTTTGATGAGTGTCTTGAGAACTTAAACTTGGTCTTGCAGTGGTGTAAGGAAACAAATTTGGTATTAAACTGGGAAAAGTGTCACTTCATGGTACAAGAGGGCATCGTGTTGGGGAATCGAATTTCAGCTAAAGGGATTGAAGTGGACAAGGCAAAGATTCAAGTTATTGAGAAGTTACCACCACCAACCTCGGTCAAGGGGGTTCGAAGTTTCCTTGATCATGCTGGATTTTATCGGCGCTTCATCAAAGACTTCTCTAAGATCACTAAACCATTATGCAATCTACTAGTCAAGGATGTCCCTTTCAACTTCTCTGAAGAATGTCGATTGTCTTTCAACACTTTAAAGGAAAAGTTAATTTCAGCGCCAGTAATTGTTGCACCAGATTGGAGTTTGCCCTTTGAACTAATGTGTGATGCAAGTGACTATGTAGTGGGAGCAGTATTGGGACAGCGACGAGATAAATTTTTTCACGTGATCTATTATGCAAGCAAGACATTGAATGATGCACAGCTGAACTATGCCACCACTGAGAAGGAACTTTTAGCTATAGTCTACGCCTTTGATAAATTTCGTTCTTATCTTGTTGGATCAAAGGTAATAGTTTATACAGATCATGCAGCTTTAAAGTATCTAATGACAAAGAAAGATGCAAAGCCAAGACTAATCAGATGGGTATTACTTCTGCAAGAATTTGATTTAGAGATAAGAGATAAGAAGGGAAGTGAAAACTTAGTAACTGATCACCTATCCCGACTTGAGCATGGAGAACAGGAAAAGTCAGTGAACATAAATGAGATCTTTTCAGATGAACAGATTTTCAATATAGAGGATGTACCTTGGTATGCTGGTATAGTGAATTATCTGGCCAAATCCATTATTCCACCAGACTATTCAAGTCATCAAAAGAAAAAATTCTTTTCTGACTTGAAGTATTATTTTTGGGATGACCCTATTCTTTATAGGCGGGGTCCAGATCGAATTATTAGGCGGTGTATTCCTAACAAAGAGATCCCTCAGATACTCAAGCAGTGTCATTCATCTGCCTATACTGGACACTTTGGAGCATCAAAAACTGCCGCTAAAATTCTACAGTCTGGTTTTTACTGGCCATCGATATTCCGAGATACATTTGAATTTGTGAAGAGGTGTGATAGATGTCAGGGCACGGGAAATATCTCAGTAAAGAACGAGAATCCTCTGAATAGCATTCTGGAGGTAGAGCTCTTTGATGTGTGGGGGATCGACTTTATGGGGCCATTTTCCTCATCATTCTCGAATCAGTATATACTTGTCGTCGTTGATTATGTTTCTAAGTGGGTGGAAGCAATAGCATTGCCAACCAATGATGCAAAGGTTGTAATTGGGTTCCTAAAGAAGTATATTTTCACCCGTTATGGTACACCTCGAGTTATCATAAGTGATGGGGGCAAACACTTTTGCAATCGTCAGTTTGAGTATTTGCTGGCTAAATATGGCGTCTGACATCGTATAGCTACCCCTTATCACCCTCAGACCAGCAGTCAAGTTGAAATCTCCAATCGAGAATTAAAGCGGATACTGGAGGTAACAGTGAGTTCTTCAAGAAAAGATTGGTCTAAGAAACTTGACGATGCTTTGTGGGCTTACAGAACGGCTTTTAAAACACCTATAGGCATGTCTCCTTATCGTCTGGTTTTTGGAAAAGCGTGTCATTTGCCAGTTGAATTGGAGCACCGAGCTTATTGGGTAGTCAAGAACTTGAACTTTAATTTAAAGGCCACCGGTGAAAAGAGATTACTTCAGTTGAATGAAATGGATGAGTTTCGATTGGAAGCCTCTGAGAACGCAAAACTATACAAGGAGCGCACAAAAAAGTGGCATGACATGCACATTCAAAGAAAGAAGTTTGAGGTTGGGCAACAAGTTTTGCTGTACAATTCTAGACTCAAACTTTTTCCTGGTAAATTGAGGTCTAGGTGGTCAGGGCCATACACCATAGTCAAGGTGTTTCCTTATGGGACAATTGAAATAACGCATGAAAGTAAAGGGACCTTTAAGGTTAATGGACAACGGTTGAAGCCATATTGGAACGGTGAATTTTCAAAAGAAAAATCAATCATTCAACTTGCAACACCAGAATGAATGAACAAAAAGTCGAGCTCTAGACTATAAATCGAGCGCTTAATGGAAGGCAACCCATTCTTCTTTCTCCTTTTGCTATTTTAATTAACTATTGCATTACATATACTTTTAGGGACTGCATTAATTTAGGAACTCATGCCTTTAAATGGGTAGTGTTGGACACATTTTAAGTGGTACTTTCAGACATACATCAGTAACTTAGGCATATTTATTTATTAAGTTCATTTTATTTTGACATGGTTATCTAGGTTCATCATTAACATCTTAGCATTCTATTGATTTTACATTGACGTGATATGCATCTTTAAGGTGGTACCTAAATCTCAATCTTTCTTGGTATGAATTTATTGCAAATATCTAACTTTTGTATGCTATCACTAATATTTTGAATACTTGAAACAGAGAATTAAAGCCTCACAACAAAGAAAAGCTACATCTGTCGTGATACCTACCAATTGGAGCAGCCTGATTATTCATCGCATCCATTTACCCGGGAAGTTTCTGATCCTTACCCCTTACTTTGTTTAGTTTTGCTTATACATTGGGGACAATGTAGTATTTTAGTTTGGGGGTGGGTGAGTTTTAGGATACCAGAATACATACTTTTCAACTGCTAATCGAGTCCGTATAACTGTTATAAAATAAATAAAAAATAAAAAAAAATCATTCATAAAAAAAATAATAATAAATAAATAAATTGTTTAGTAGCGTTGACGACTTGCCGTCTATGAAGATATTATTTGTTTGAATTGAGTACATATTTAGTTAGATGTCGGATAACATCTTAACTTGTACTTTTACTTTAAAACTTATCCATGTTAGATTTGATTACTTGAACACAGAGCCATATTTATTTATCACTTATGTTGGTACACAATGTAATTTTTGTGGAATTGTTGATGTTGTTGACTTAGGTTTGAATAAAATTCCCAAGTACCTTATTTAGAAACCAAACTGCAAAAAAAAAAAAAAAAAAAAAGCAGTTTGGGGGTGAGAAGGTTAGTATTTGTCTTCATAAAAAAAAGGCAGTTTGGGGGTGAGAAGGTTAGTGCTTGTCTTCCTAGAAGTGCGATGGTTTGGAATTCTCGGACCTCGGTGTTAATTGAAAGGGTTTGAGTTAAAAAGTCTAAAACAGGCACCGATCATTATACATTTTTTTACTTCTTTTCATAGCCTTTATGACCCGAGTGATTAAGCCTGCAAGGGTATCTAAAAACTTGATGCCCTATAGTCGTCTGACTTGGGAGTCATCGGCCTAAAACTCGCTACATGGGTCATTTAGAAAGCTTAATGAAGAGAAGTCTTGCACAGGAGATGTCAAAAAAAAATGAAGAAGAAAAATTGAGATATAATTTATCAAAAGTGAGATGTGTCTAGTAATGACTTTGAGATTTGAATTCTAGAGAATGGTGGTGTGGATATGAGAAAGACTTACTATCTCTCTTTCTAAGTTTACAAGTATCTAATTCTGAACCCTTGTGCGGAAAAATGCATCATAATGATTTTTTGGAACCCTTTTTGTACTAGAAATACCTCAGGACTGGAGAGAAAAGCATAAGGAGTAATTGTTACACGAGAGGTGTGAGGAAAAATGACCACAAGAGGGTTGAGACTATGAATAAATCAACAACACTTGATTGGTTGTATTCTAATATAGGTGTTAGTTCAATGTTGGCTAATCTCACACACACACTAAATCGAGCATCGGATAAGCAAAAAATAAGCACACACCTCAACAAAATGGGATCGCTGAAAGAATGAATTAAACTCTAATTAACAAGGTTAGTTGTATAATTAACCAATTATGGATTAGCTAAGGGGTTTTGAACTGAGGCTGTTACTACAGCTACTTATCTTATAAATTGATCTCTATATAGTTCTGTAGGATTTGAGACTCCACTGGAACTTTGTATTGGAAAGCCCTCAAATCTTTCTCACATTAGAGTGTTTTGTTGTGCAGCGTATGCACATCAGGTTGAAGGAAAACTAGACCCTAAAGCAACTAAGTGTGTGATAATAGGGTACCCCATAGGGGTATAGGTTGTGGGTGTTTGGTGTACAAGGCATCAAGATCATTAATAGTAGAAATGTGATATTTAATGAATCCGAAATGTCATGTATAAAGAATAAAATTGATAATCCAAAAGAACAAACTAAATAGACTACTTTACGAAATGAGGTAAAACTAGCAAGGCTAAACTCCACTCAATAAGAGAATATTGAAGCTGGTGTTTAACAACTTGATGAAAATATTGTTAACACGGATGAAGGTGAAATAGATCTACCTCAAGTTGAGGTTGAGACTGAAATTGAAAACCCAAGTGTTCCCACTGTTGGAACAAGTACTTAAAATTATCAATTGGTTAAAGATAGAGAAAGGAGACAAGTCAAACCAAATCTTAGATATAAAATAAATAACTTGATTGACTTTGTCCTTATCTTCAGTAAATCTTTAGAGTATTCAGAACCTTCATCTTATGAAGAGGCCATGAATAACTCTAAATTTGAGAAATGGAAAGACGCAATGAAAAAAAAATGAAATCTTTACTCCAAAATAACACATGAAAATTAGTGAAGAAACCTAAAAATCAAAGAGTTGTTCAATGCGAGTAGATTTTCAAACTGAAGGATGGGATTACATCTTCCGACCCTTTGAGATATAAAACTAGGCTTGCAGTCGAAGGCTTTACTCAAATGGAAGGTGTTGACTATAATGAGATCTTATCCTCGATTGTCAAATACAAGACCATAAAATTGAAGTTTACACTGGTTGTTCAATTCAATTAGGAACTTGAAAAATTAGATGTCGAGATGACTTTTTTTCACGATAAGTTAGATAAGGAAATTTATTTGAGTCAACCCCAAGGGTTTGAAATGAAGGAAAATGAAGATTATGTCTACAAGTTGTAAAAATCATTGTGTGGGCTCAAACAAAGCCCAAGGCAATAGCACATTAGATTTGACACATTTGTGTTGAAGATTGACTTCAAGAGAAGTGAATTTGATCATTGTTTATACTACAATAATGCTAGGACTGGTAGGGAGATCTATTTATTTTTATACGTTGATGACATGTTATTGGCTAGTTCTAGCAAAGCTGAAATTTTGAGACTTAAAAAACCATTTAAAGTCTGACTTTAATATGAAAGATTTGGGAAATGCCAAGAAAATTTTGGAAATGATTATTAACAGAACTAAGCAACATAACATTTTAACTATAACACAAAGTTCTTATTTGAACAAAGTTATAATCAAATTTGGCATGAAAGAAGCTAAGCATGCGAATATACCTCTTGCAGCCCATATGAATCTATCATCATCTCAATCACATAAAACTGAATCTAAAATAAAAGAAATGGAAGAATATCCCATACGCTAATGCCATAGGATCGTCCTATTTTCTATGGTCACTACTAGGCCTGATTTGATTTATGCTATAAGTTCTTAAGTAGACTCATGCTAATCAGGGAAAACCTCATTGGGTTGGGTTAAAATGGCTTCTAAGATACATAGTCGGGACATTAAATATGGGGTTGGTGTTTAAAAAGAGATTTGAGTAGCTTACTTTAAAGGGGTATGTAGACTCAAATTTCACCGGTGATAAAGACCAAAGAAAGTCTACAACCGCCTATTTCTTTAAACTTGGTGATAATTGCATCATATGGAAATCATAACTTCAACATATTGTCACATTATATAGCACGGAGGTTGAATATGTGGCAATAATCAAATATGTAAAAGAGAGTATCTAGTTAAAAGGAATTTTAGGAGAATTGAATTTTTTACAAGAGTTACATTATTTTTGCTAGTAGTCAAAGTGCTTTGCTTTTATGTAAAAATCCTATTTATCATGAAAGATATAAGCACATTGAGGTGAAGTGTCACTTCATATGAAAGAAAATTGCATGTGGTGAGGTTATATTTAAAAAAATTCATAACGATGTAAACTCGTCTAATATGGGAACAAAATTTCTAACTGTTGGTAAGTTTAAATCTTGTCTATCTTTGCTATATATTGATACGAGTCAATCTTTTGCGGGTAACTAGGGCAATGATATAGGATGAAATACCGTCACGTGCATGTAGCAACTAGAGAAAGGGGGGAGTTTGAGAAAACAAGATGAATATTGTAAAATGGTGTTTTCAAAACCCAAAGCACTTTTTTAAAAAGTGGAAAAATGTTTTTTAAAGGTCCTGTCCACTTGGCACACATTTACTGGCTGGTTCACTTCATACGGATCTGCATTTGTTGAGGATACATCTGGACCATTGATCAAAATCAATCGATGTGGTTTATATCCATTTCTTTTGACCCTTGGTTGGCCCAGTAGATGGTTTTGATTGATTTTTCATTCTCACTCATTTAGATTTTCTCTCGAAGCCTCTTGCATTTTTCTTCTCTCTAGTATGATCACCTCTGACTTTCAGATACGTAGTTGGTTCTTTGTTGTATATTAGATCTTGTCCTTGATTTGGACTTTGGTCTGCTGTGAAGTCCCACTGTAGTGCTGGTTGTGTATAGTGCTCCTGACAAGGAGTTTTAGGACCTTTTTGGGTCGGTGTTGAACTATAAAGTGCTATACTACACTTGTGTCTAGTCTTGTGTTGATTAGGCGTAGATTATTGTAAGATCTATTAAAGATCGATGATCTATTGTTGAGTCGATGGTATGACTATTGTACTCCAAACTTTTGCTCTATCTTGGGAGGTTCTTGCACATAATGATGGGATCTTATCTCTAAGCTCCCCAGATTAGGCTTTGTCGAATTAGATGACCATTTTTACGTGTTATGTTTACTGTTTTCGTATTGTTTGTGTTTCGATTTCCATATATTATCTTGGTTGGGTGACAAAGTCCCAACAGATCCATTTTCTTTTCAAACTACGTTCGATTCGAGTTTTTGTTCCCTAGTGCGATTATAGTCTCTAGCAGTTTTTCTTGTAGAATCTCATTTACGAAAATCCTTTTCATTCAAACATGGTTCTTATTTGGTTTTGATGAATTAGCAATGTGTGTATCTCATTGTCTTTCTTGTTGGCGATGGGGAAGAAGATGAGGAGGGTGGAGAGAAAATAAAATTTAAAAGATTTAGGTTCGTGGGTGACATGTATAAAAAATTTAGGGGGGTGCATTCAATTGTGACTTTTGAAAACTATAATGGATTTTTTTAAGTGATGACTTTTGTGATTTTCGATATTTTTTGTAGATTTGTATGGAATTAGTGAAAAAATTTCGTAGATTTCTATAAACTTTTATTTTAAAACTTTTATAGATTTTATAGAATTCAAAAGACTTTTAAAAACTTTCATTTAAAGTAAAGTTTATGGGATTTAGTGCAATAATGTGAAATTCGTATATAAGAATTACAAAGTGGTAGTTCCAACAATTTTCCTTCCCCTCCTCATAAAATAAAAGGTTATTTTAAAAATAATAAAAATTAAAAACTTTTGTGATTCTTCTTTTTGTTGTTGCTTGAATACTTTATATTCAATTGAATACTAAATAACAAGCATTTTTGTTTTCAAATCAAATAAATCATTATTTATCTATAATTTATTTGAACAAAAACAGGGGTCTGACTTATATATATATATATAGTGTTAAAAAGTAAATTTAATATTCAATATTATTAATATAATATATCTTTAAAATAAATAAAAAATTAATACATTTAAATTTAATTATAAATATGCCATATAGAATTTTATAATTTAATAAAAAATAGATTTTTCACAAAAAAAAATGAATGAAAGAAGAAAAAAATGTTACAAAAATCCAATTTATTTTTATAGAAAATAAAGATAAATAATAAGAGAGATATATAATCAATAGAAAAAATAAATTTTAATTATAACTCTAATGTTCGTAGAAGGAAAAATGAAAGAGAAATATTGAAAAAAAAAAATTTCATTTTTTTTTAAAAGTCTCCCAAAATCTTGTGATTAATGAGAGACAAATTTTGAGATTTTATGAGTACCATTTTGCTTAAAAGTTAGTACGCTAGAAGTCATTAAAATTTGAATACCTCAATACTTTCAGAGACTTTTAAAAAGTTTTAGTTGAATACATTGTGACTTCTAGAGATTTTTTAAAAGTTTATAAAAGTTTCAATTGAATACATCAATACTTTTAGAGAGTTTCAAAAAGTTTACATTTAATATTTATAAACATTTTAATTCCAAAAAGTTATTAAAATCTCAATTGAGTACACCCCCTTAGTTATATTTTGTAAAAGAAATTTTAAAAAGTTTCGAATTGTAACTATAATTATTCATTCTTAATTTTGTCCCCATTTTTACTTTTTCTAATAGTTAAACTAACAAACGTTGACGTTAAGGGTGTATATCTAACAAAAGGTTTCAAACGGGACCTTTTTTGCAATTTTCAATTGGTAGGAAGGTATATCGTACATGGAAAAGTTTGTAGGTTGTCTTTTGCTATTAAGCCTAAAAAATATTAAGCCCATGTTTGATGGGATTAAAATTAAATTTTTAATAAATTTTGATAAAAATAGATGAAAAATTGTAATCATGGTATCAAACATTTCATTTAATAGCAGATTTGATCCAAACATTTTATTTGATCCAAACATTTTATTTGTGCCTCCTAAATTCATCATCGTCGCCACCCAGGTGATCGATCGTCATCGCCATTCAGGCAACCGGATGTCATTGACATAGCTAATGTCACCCAATAAAGGAAGAATGAGAGTGTGACGAACTTCTTTTCTTTAGATCTGTAAATCAAAATTGGTTTTAAAATCAGATTTGATTTGAGATTTTGTTATTGTTATGGTGTAAGTGGTGGTTCTAGTGAATGAAAGTGGTGATGATGGTGAGGAAAAGCAATGGTGACAGTGGCATGAATGTTCACTGCACAGCTTGTTCACCTTGTATATTTATATTCCCAAATTGCATTTTTATGTCAAAAGTCGAACCTTATCTAGTGCAAAACTGGGTTGTGTTGGTTGTAGATTTGATGTGGAGATCTTGTGGTGTGATGGAGGTGGAGGCGTAGGAGGTGGCATTTATGTTATTTGGGTACGGTAGAGCCGTCTAGTAGTGGTGGTGGTGTTCGTTTTGGGGAGGGGTTGGGTATGTGTGGAGTGGATGGAGAAGAACGAGTTATTTGATTTTTTATTTTAGTTGTTTTACTATAAAAAACGTAAAGTTACCATTTTAACCTTTAAAATTAGTCAAAATTATTGTCAAAGTCAATTATATGGTCAACTAACGATCAAACTAACAATTTTTTTTCATTTGGACTCCAAGCAAGAATTTTGAAAAGTTTGGTATTGTGGATGACACAAATGAAAGGTTTGGGTCAAGTATGCTATTAAATGAAATGTTTGGTACCGTAGCTACAATTTTCCTCTAAAATATATTATTGAAAAGTTGTGAATTTCATGAAATATTTGGTTAAAATTAATTGTTGATTTTAACTTAAATTAAAAACTGAATTTTAATCCCTAACAAATAAGAGTAAATGTTCAATGAGATAAAACCTTGTTATGTAAGGATGTTTTATATTGAATTCATTTTAAACACTACTACCTTTGATAGCTTAATTCAAGAGTTTTAATAATTTGAGAGGGAAAGAGATATCATATGCATCAATCATAAACTCGGATTTTTGTTGTAAACTAATTTGAATTAAAATTTAGATTTTAATCTAAGTTAAAATAAATAATTGATTTTAACCACATATCTCATAAGATTCATAGTTTTTCAAACACACATTTCATCAATTTTTATTAAAATCTACTAAAAATCTAATTTTAATTCTCACCAAGCATGGGCAAAATAATAAAATTGACTAAAGAACAAGAGAATATTGACATAGGAATAGAAAAGAGAATTTGCTCCACTTGTATTCTTCATCCTTTTACAATATAGGTCTATATATTTAGGTAGTTTACAGTCCTTCATGAGTTACAAGAATATAAATCATACATATAGGTCACTTGTAAGAATTAGGTGGTAGTAATGCTTGTAATGTGTGACGAATTGGTCATAAAAAACAATGTTTATATCGATTTGTTTAGATGTCTATTTACATAGCATATGTCTAACTAAAATATACTAGGAAAAATAGTGAAAGAAAAAGAGCCTATCATTCTTGTAAGGGAGAATTGAAGCCACAGCTCCAAATCTTTTATTTTGTCATGGATTTTATTAAAACCCTTAATTTGTGCCATCTACAGTCTAAAATATTTCATTTTGTTGCAACACAAAATATTCGGTCACTAACGATGTACGTAAACGTGATTGCATAATAAATAACAATTGAAAACAAGCGAATCCAAACACAAACTAAGCATTTAACTCAAACACTCTAAAATGATAGAGCAAGAGAGAAGATGAAGTATGGCTTCAAGCGTATATATTTGCATCAGTTTTCAAATGATAAAAAAGAAGAAGTAATTATAGTGTTACGTATGGAATAGTTTTCGTTGGATGAGAAGGCATATGGCTTCATCTCCTTAGCCAAAACATCATATCTCAAGTTGACTAGGAAAATATATTTTGACCAAATTTTACATATTTCAAATATGGCAAAATAGTAACTTTGAATTTTTCATATAAAACAATTAAAATAGTTACATAAAAAAATAAAAGAAAAAGAAAAGTTTATCTTCTTCCCAAACCCTACCCTATAAAGGTTACTAATTTGCCCTTTTTAAAATATTAAAAATTTGGTCAAAATACATTTTCTTAGTCAATTAATGATTAAAGAGACATAGTCCACGTGTTGCAACAAAATGAAAAGTTTGAAAGTGTGGGTGGTACGAACTAAATGTTTTAATAAAGTTTGCAACAAAAAGGTTTTGGGATTGTGATTGCAATTCTCCATTCTTTTAAATACATTCTTTGTTTCATTAAAAAATTTGTCAGAAAAATAGTGAGACAAAACTTCAACTAAGAAAAAAGTACAATACATATTAACTCGTAAGAAATCTCTTTAGGTCTTTAAACCAGCATTCCAAAAATGCATATAAGACCCTGTTTGGCCCCCATTTTTCGGAAATGAAAATGGGTGGAATAGTATTTTTTTGAAAAATGAGTGGTTGAAAAAAATTTAAAAATTTTAGATTTATGTGTAATTTAAAGAGTGTGTAGTTGAAATGATTTCAAATCACTGTTTAAGAATATATTTTTTTGAAAAAATGTAACTCAGGAATGGATGAAGATAGATTCTTATTCTATCACCTATTAATTGATAGAGTACATCTCCTTTTATGTTAAAAATTCTGAGAAACCCTGATGAAAAGATGTTAATTTTGTAATCTTTCACTACGTAATTACCATGCAACAGAATTTTCAAGAAAGAAGTATTCTCCCAAGTTCCAAGAATGTAGCAAGAAACCCAGAAAATCAAGAACTAAAATATTACAACCTTTTGGCTAGCTTGAATATGTTCAACATAACGTAGCCTTTATAGTATCTATTCTGATTTTTCTCTATAGCTCAGTAGGAGGGAATGCATATAGAACAATCAATTAAAAAATTATTAACTTGGTCATTACCATTTAAGAGATTAAACAGTAAACTATTGGTGTAATCTTTTATGGTATCAAACTGACGGTTAATCTTATAGAAAATGGATCGAGAGGGAAACTTGGAAAAGAAGCATACTTGGAGAGTTGGGGATCAAAGTTCACTTCGTTGTCTGCCAATGAGGATGCCACATTCAACATTACATTTGACTGGGACGAGTCGATGGGAGTCCCTGGTGCTTTCCTTATCAAAAACCATCACCCTAGCCAGTTTTACCTCAAGAATGTTACTTTAGAAGATGTTCCGGGCATCGGTCAGCTCCAATTTGTCTGCAATTCTTGGGTTTATCCTGCGTATCGTTACAAATACGATCGTGTCTTCTTTGCATACAAGGTATTTCTACCTTCCACTGAAAAATGTCTAAGGCAAAAAAAAGTATCATAATAAGCAAGTTTTTTCAATCATCCAAGAAATTTGTGCACTCTGAGATTGAACAAGACAACTTAAAAAACTGTATGTATCATCAGACATATCTTCCATGCAATACACCGGAACCACTACAAGCATATAGGGAAGATGAACTCATCAATCTTCGTGGAGATGGTTCTGGCATGCTAAAGGAGTGGGACAGAGTATATGACTATGCATTATATAATGACTTGGGAAGTCCTGAAGAAGGACGTCCCGTGCTTGGTGGTTCACAGGAATTCCCATATCCTCGTAGAGGAAGAACAGGTCGTCGACCAAATAAAAAAGGCAAGTAAAAACCCAATATATATTTTTGGTTGATAGATTCTGGGAGGTCATAATTTCGATTTTTATATGGTTCTACAGCACCTAGTTTTATTCCTGTTGGCAAGGAATTTACTTTTCAGAGTTGCATTTACAGATCCAAACATAGAAACTCGGTTGCTACTACTGAATTTGAACATTTATGTTCCACGAGATGAGCGGTTCAGTCAAGTGAAGTTCTCAGAATTCATCTGTTCTTCTTTTAATTCCCTGGGTCAGGTATTGATCCCAGAGATTGGAGCTGTATTTAACAAGACCATCAATGAGTTCGACAATTTGCAAGACATACATAAGCTATACAAAGAAGAAAATAATCTTCCAGACAGTCGTCCACTAAGAAATACAAGAGAATGCCTTCCATGGGAGTCGTTCAAGGAACTTCTTCATGTGTCTGGTGGACGACCACTTAAATTCCCGAAACCTGATATCATCAAAAGTATAATATGATTTCTATCTTAAAAAACTTCATTTGATTCTTTGAGAGTCTTAAATAAAATTTGATGCATATATCCCATTACAAATATGAGCATTCTATGGAATCATTGCAGACGATGAAACAGCATGGAAAACAGATGAAGAATTTGGCCGAGAAATGATAGCTGGAGTGAACCCTGTTATTATTCGATGTCTCGAGGTAAAAGAAACTTTCTTCCTCTATTCTTACCCTTGAAACAACTATGTTTTTTTCTCATTGAGCTATTTTACTACTTTTCTACCTAACAGGAATTTCCACCTGCTAGCAAGCTAGATCCCAAAGTATATGGTAATCAAAATAGTTCAATGACAAAGGAGCAGATTGAGAAAAACATGAACGGGCTAACTGTAGAAGAAGTATATCATTCCTTTCCTCTAATTCATATATAGAAAGAGAATGGAAAAAGCAGAGTACTTGAATTGATAATACATGAAGTATTCTATTTCAATTAATGTCTTCTATTACTTTGTGTGAACACAGGCAATTGCAGGTAACAAGCTGTTCATATTGGATTATCACGACGAGCTGATACCATACCTTAGAAAGATTAACAAGACGAAATACACAAGGACGTATGCAAGTCGAACTGTCCTTTTGCTTCAAGATAATGGGACTTTGAAGCCACTGGCAATTGAATTGAGCAGAGAACAAGACGACGTAAATGTATATGATCCCATCAGCCAAGTATTTACTCCGTCCGAGCACGGAATTGAAAACTCAAAATGGCAGTTGGCTAAAGCTTACGTTGCAGTGAACGATTCGGGTTATCATCAGCTCATTAGCCACTGGTAAGTTTACATGTGAAAGAAGATGAAATAATTATATTTTAGAAGCTTAACCAATTTGTAATATAGTACCGTACTTGCAATCTTGATATGCAGGTTGAACACCCACGCAGCAATAGAGCCATTTGTGATTGCAACAAACAGACAGTTGAGTGTGCTTCACCCAATGTACAAGCTACTGCAACCACATTTCCGCGATACAATGAACATAAATGCCTTGGCTCGGCACACACTCATCAATGCAGGCGGAATACTTGAGACAACGGTCTTTCCAGCAAGATATTCCATGGAAATGTCTGCTGTTATCTATAAGAACTGGAACTTCACTGAGCAGGCCCTTCCTGAGGATCTGCTCAAAAGGTCAGTCAGAAAGTTTTATAGCAACCATTCTAAATGATTTTGATTTATATCTGTTAGAATTTACAATACATGAGTAATGAACACAGAAATACGCAGAGGGATACCCATAAATTTTTCCACTTACCATAATCTATCCACTACAGAGAAAAGGAAGGGTTTAAAGAGTAATCTTTCCAGAATCTGGAGTTAAAAAGGGGAATGAAATAAGGAAAGTCAATTGTTCTCACAATCTCGCTAACCTTCAATTACTTTGCATATTCAGAGGAGTGGCTGTTAAAGACCCGAACCATCGTCATGGTCTTAGACTTCTCATAGAGGATTATCCTTTCGCTGTTGACGGACTTGAGATTTGGTCAGCAATTAAAGACTGGGTCACCGACTATTGTTCTATCCATTACGAGACAGATGACCTGATCCAAGGTGATTCAGAACTTCAATCATGGTGGACGGAGCTTCGTGAAGAAGGCCATGGAGACTTAAAAGACAAGCCATGGTGGCCTAAAATGCAGACAAAGGATGACCTTATTCAGACATGCACAATAATCATATGGGTAGCTTCTGCTCTTCATGCAGCCGTCAATTTCGGACAATATCCTTATGCCGGCTTCCTTCCAAATCGCCCCGCTGTAAGCCGCCGATTCATGCCTGACACCCAGGAGCATGCTGAGCTTGAGAAAGACTTTCATTTGTTCTTCTTGAAAACAATTACTGCCCAGTTCCAAACCCTCCTTGGTGTGGCGCTAATAGAGATACTCTCACGGCATTCAACAGAAGAGATTTACCTTGGACAAAGAGACACTAGCGAGTGGCCGAAGGATGAAGAAAAAGAGGCATTTGCCAGATTTAGCACCAAACTGGTCACAATAGAAAATGAAATAACAGAGAGGAATAAAGACCAGGGCTTAAAGAATCGAAAGGGGCCCGTGAAAATGCCTTATACCTTGTTATATCCCAACACCTCGGACGACAGTAAAAAAGGAGGACTTACAGGCAGTGGAATTCCCAACAGTATCACAATCTGATGTCTAGAGTATTTTCATATCCATTAAATCAAATGTTTTACAGCTCGAAAATTTTGTCTTCATTCCTTGAAGGTAAGATTGCATGCAAAGTTCAAATTTCTTCACCAAGTAATAAAATTAAGATCAAAATTTTCCTTTCTCGCCCTTTTTCTTGTCACTACAAGAAGATCGGAGTGTGCAGCACTCAATAACCATCATTATGGTTTTATTTAGGAAAAATTGCAACAACAATCCCTAACCTTTTAAATTTTTCAGACTTTACTCTAATCTTCAATTTGTGTTAGCAGTGACACTAACTTTTCAAAAATATGCATTTGAAGTCCAAATGAATGGAATCTATCCACTTTTTCGCTAATTGACCAAAAGAAATGGACTTTAACCAATTTTAACTAAAATAATAGGGGTAAAATGTTAACTTTAGAATTACCACATTAAGTCCCCGTTTGTTTCCCATTTTTTCTTCATTAAAATAAAAAATATGACCGTTATCCATTATATCAAGCCATCAAATTTAAATTTTTATTTCTTGTATGGGGTCCATAACGACTATATTTTTCATTCTCATTTTTACATTAATGTGTACGGGCTCTAAATAAATAAACAAAAAAACACAAAAAATGGAGTTGCTCCCTTCAAACCCCAACCCCGACCCATATGCCCCATCCCCTTTTTCCTCAACCACCAACAACGTCAGCACCATTGTCGACCAACCGTCCACAAGCATCCATCTCACACAATGGCAAGGCAAATGGAGGCGAACGAATCTGGGTAGGTACGTTTGAATCTGCTGAAGACATGGCTAGGGCATACGACGCAACTACTCGATTTGGATTCTGGTTTTTGAACATTATCTTCGCTTTCGTTTTAATTCGTCAAAACATTGTTGAGTGGCTGTGGAGGTGTGATGGTGGTAGTGTTGGCTGTTTATTCGAGTGAATTGGTACTAGATTCATCAATAAATTGTTGAGACCGATTGACCAATGATGCACGAATTGAGATTTAATGAATTCCACTTGTTGTAATTGAAGTATTGAACAAGATCACAAATAACCCAAGAACAAGATTAAAGTAAGTAAAAGAAAAACTGGCAGAAGGAACGATGTTTTATTAATTCACCATTAAAAGAAAGTACAATACAGCAAAATGCTCCAATAAAACTGACACAGGAGCCTTGTATTTATAGTATAAAATCTAGCCCTAAAAGAGTCCCAAAAAAGGTAAGAAATCTAATGCAATTTAAACTCCTATTTGAGTCACACTTCTAACAATCTCCACCTTGACTCAAATCCGGTGCAACGAACGAAGGTCCAAAATTTCTCCACCTTGAAAAATGATCCGTCTGCATCAGAATAACCAAGCTCCTCAACACAGTAACCAAACTCTCCAGGAAAACATGTTCCTTCGCCCGGCGTCCACACGCGACACCCGGATCCAAACTCGAGTTCCCAAAATTCCTCCTAGAATTAACAATCATTGGACAGGGTTGAAGCACACCCTGTAGCACAAACCACACCAAATGCACAACCAGAAGGTCCCTTGCCAATATTGTCACCTTCAATGATTTCTAAAGCATTACAAACATCTCCAAAACTGTACCTACGCTCCATGAGTCCATTGGCATTACAAAAACACAGTGTACCCGCTAAAATTGGTGACAAAGCGGAATTACCAACACTCCCTTGAGCAAAGTTCTTAATTGATCCAGAGCCAAACCCGAGAGGTACTGTACCAAATTGAATGTCCGCCACGGTACTGAATTTGTCCAAATGTCTCTGAACTGGTTCTGCACTCCCCTGCAAGATGTACAACTGGGATTTCCTTCATCCCTCCAATACAATCCGGACACCCCTTCGAACCTTCAAGACTCCACCTCCACCAGAAAATTTGTACCCTTTTTCATCCAAGGTACTCAATAATATGAGATTCTTTGTCAAGTCTGGAATATGATGAATCTCATCAAGTGTCCTCACTGTTCCATCCTGTAGCCTCAATCTAACCCGACTGATTCCTACAACCCAACAAGATTGGTTGTTTCCCATGACAATTTCACCTTACTTCACCGTCTCATATGTTTGAAACAAAGCCCTATTGGACACATAAGATACGAACAAGCAGAATCCAGAATCCACTCCTCAAGTTTGGATTCCCCGTCAGATATAGCCAACATCACATCTCCATCATCACAAAAATTTTCAGCAATATTAGTCTCGTTCGAATTACCTGATTGCCCCGCATGATTTGCATGTAAATTAGCTTTACCCTGCAACTTGTCACAATCTTTCTTGATGTGTCCTTTCCTCTTGCAGTAATAACAATACACATTGCTGTACTTCACCTTCGATCTACCCCTTCGTCGATCACCATGAGTCACAAGAGCATCCCCCTCCTAGATGTAGGATCTCCAACCAACAACTTCATCTTTTCTTTTGAGAACAGGGCGTCGTATACCTCCTCAATGGATAACATGTCACAACTATACAGAAGAGTATCACGAAATGACGAAAAAGAATTGGGTAGCGAACACAACATGACCAAGGCTAGATCATCTTCATCATATTTTACTTTCAACGTCTCCAAATCTGCAACGATCTCCTTGAACACAGCAAGGTGGTCCTGCAGTGACCCTCCTTCCGCCATGCTATGAGAATACAACATCTGCTTTAGAGTCAGATTGCTCGTCAAACTCTTTGTCATGCACAATTGCTCCAACTTGAGCCACAAAGCAGCCGATATCTTCTCCTTCAAAACATCTTGCAGTAAATTGTTGGATAAATAAAGTTGGATTTGTGCTAAAGCCTTCTGATCCTTCCGTTGTTTCTCCTCCATAGACAAGTTTGTTGGCATCCTATCAAAACCCAGCAAAGCATCATCAAGATCCATCTACGTCAACACAGCTCTCACATTTACTTGCCACAACGAAAATCTTGTATTGCGATCCAATAGCGAAATTTCATACTTTAACGAATTCATCTCAAAAATATCAATCAAATCACGAAGAACTTGCAACCTGTAACACCCAAAACTGAAAACTGCCGAACGTGCAAGGGGCAAAATAGTCCAGAGCCACAATTTTGCCCAAAACTGAAATTGGACACCACCACAAGGTTCGTCTCGTCGTCCGGAGAAAACTGCCTGAAGACACCGTCGTCGAAAACCGCCGCACGCGCTGCCACTCTCCTCGCCAAAGTTTCACCACCGGCGATTGGCCGGAAACGCGCCGACGACATGTGATCCTTTCTGGACTGTTTCTGCTTGCTGAGTCCACTGGTGGTGTTCGTTTCTCCAAATTCTTACTGGTTTGACTAGAAAAAGTAAAAGCAGATCCGACAAAGAATCGAAAAATTGGACAAGTTCGTTTTCTGATTTTCTGGTAATTTTCAGACGATTTTCCGATCAGTTTCAGGCCAAAAATCCACCAATAACCCCGCTCTGATACCATTTGTTGAGACCGATTGACCAATGATGTGGGAATTGAGATTTAATGAATTTCACTTGTTGTAATTGAAGTATTGAACAAGATCACAAATAACCCAAGAACAATATTAAAGTAAGTAAAAGAAAAACTAACAGAAGGAACGATATTTTATTAATTCACTATGAAAGGAGTGTACAATACAGCAAAAGGCTCCAATAAAACTGACAGAGGAGCCTTGTATTTATAGTATAAAATCTAGCCCTAAAAGAGTCCTAAAAAAGGTAAGAAATCTAATGTAATTTAAACTCCTATTTGAGTCACACTTCTAACATAAATTACACCAGAAAGAGCGTTGTTCAGCAAATCAAGCACTTGTAATTCAGTGCAGAGTGCTACAATTGAAGGCAGTGGTCCAGAAAATGAATTCGAATGAGCAACCATCGATAAACATGTCATCATCCAACTCGCCTAGAAAATGCACGAGAAGGACCACGAGGAGGACCACCATCGACAAACACTATGTCATCACTCTTTGATTTCTGAACTGATTTGGGTGTTGCTACCATGTATTAGCTAAATGTGGATTTTTGTATAAACTTGCATGTTTATTAGATGATGGATTTGAGGATGTTGTGGTGGTAGTGGTTGGTACAGACGGTGGTTGTTTGGAGGTGGCAGAGACCGTGACCTTGGGTTTGGTTTGGTTCGGTTCGGTTCGATGGATTGGGGTGAGTATTAGATGATGGATTTGAGGATGTTGTGGTGGTAGTGGTTGGTACAAACGGTGGGAATTTGGAGGTGGCGGAGACAGTGGCCTTGGGTTTGGTTCGGTTCGATTCGATGGATTGGGGTGAGAAAGAAGAAGTCTTTTTCCATTTCTTTTATTTTTTATTTTTGATGTAACATATTTAATTGTTCATAATAGAAAAATGTAAATTTATCATTCTGACCCTTTATAAATAGTTAAAATATGGTCAAATTAATTTTTTATAATCAGCTAATGGAAAAGTAGACGGATTTCATCCATTTGGACTCCGAACATATATTTTTGAAAGGTTGGAGATCGTTGCTGGCATAAATTGAAAGTTAGTGTAAAATCTGCAAAAATTGAAAATGTTAGGGAACTTGTAACAAGTTTCCCTTTCATTGATTTTTGTTACAAACTTATTAACAGTTTGAAATTCCGTGTGTTTCATGGTGTTAATGCAGTGACTATAAATCAGTAGTCGAGAAAAATATATCTGTTGCCCCAACCAAAGATCAAAACCCAGTGGACAAGGAATAGCTTGATCACAAAAAATAATTTGCCAGAAATAGGATCAATTGCTTCAGCCTTGATACTGCGCGCATGAATTTAATGGAATGAAATCAAAGCGATTACAATGCTTTATTTAAGTTTGAAGTCTTCTCTTTGATGGTACAATTTAATACTTTTACTTATGTCTACCACCTTCACTGACTCCTAGACACGAGCAAAATTAAGTAATTTATGTGTTGGTTAACAATTAACATAACAAATTCAAATAACATAAACATAAGAAGAGAGCTAGAAAGTAAGCTTTGTGGAATCACGTTGAGAACGTTGTTTTAAAGTCATATGACATTCCCTTTGTGCGAGCATTTTTGACACTACACGGCTTCCATATAAAACCTTCTAGCTCACAAGCAATTCTCCTTTTGTGGGTACGATCACAAGAACGTAAAGAACGAGCTTTTATCAAGTTA